AACATACAGAAAGATCGAATAAACGTTATACAGAAAATACAAGTACCAGATTAATTAATAAAACACAATAAGGTTGTGTATAAACAAGACACTAAATAAAGAAAGTACATACAAACCTTTAATAAAAGTGATCAACCATGGCAACTCAAGACTTCACCAAACCGTTTTACCATGATAATGAGGACAAAGACATAGAGGACTTTCTCTTTGACTTCGAAATGTATGCAGAATCAAAGCAATGGGATAATGATAAGAAGCTAAAGGTAGTTGGTCTACATGTTGCTGAGAAGGTGAGAGTTTGGGTACGTGCGCTGATGAAGACTTCAACATCGTGGTCAGATCTTAAAGGCAAAATGGAAAAAGCTGCGAAAATGAAATATCATGCAGAAGAAAAGGTTGCAAGGTTAATGAGGATAAAACAAGAGGAAAACGAATTTGTAGTTAGATATTCCAACCGATTTGAATCGTATGCTCATATAATTAAGAATGAAGTGCATAATAGAAAAAAACAGAAATGGTTTATAGCCAGATTAAAGAAGGAGTATTGTTCAAAGGTGGAAAAACATTTTCCTGCTGATTATACTGAGGCAACGAGTTTGGCTATAAAGATTGAAAGGTATAATAGAGACAATGAATTTGATTTACAAAGAGCAAATAAGACGCTGATAGAAGGAACAAGCGAATATGCGAAAACTGATATCAATGAGTTAACGAAAGCAATGGAAACTTTAAAAATATTACGAGTTAAAAAGAAGCCTGACAATGATATTCAAAAAATAAAAGATGCAATTAAAGATATGGCAAAAGCAATAAAAAATCTAACTAAAAGAAAAGGCATCCCACAACAAAATGAACAGAACACCGGACTTCGATGTTATTCATGTCAAAAGGATGGTCACATATTACGTGATTGTTCAGAAAAGGTAATGAAAGATTACCCTGTAAATAAGTTTGAAGATCTTTAGAGAAAGGATCGAAGCTTGAATAAGGATAATGATAAGCAAAAGGGTCCCGATGTATGTTTTGTAGAGTTCACCAATGATGAATCGAAAGATAATAAGGAATATTTGTTGGTAGAATTGGTTGAAGAAGAACAAGACATAGGTGATATAAGAAATTTAGGGAAGAGAAAACATGACGATTACATGGTTGGTAAGAAATCTAATAAAAGAGGAAAGTCACAGAAGGTATTAGAAGTAAGACCAAGTGAACCATCGTTATCAAACCAAAGTAAGGACACTAAAAATTCAGTAATATACATACTATTAACTGAGTTAACCGAGGATTATGACATTCTGAAAACTGTCCCTGAACTAAAATTTAATATTACGCTTAGGCAACTATTTAAATGGTCACTCAAGGCAAGAAATGAGATTATGAAATCGTTAGCTCAAAAAAGAAAGACACCGACATCATGGATATGGACGTAAGGTTAAGATTTGTTAAAGAGGATAAAGTTTGGAAGAGTAAGACCGAAATAGTGCCAATGCGGCCTGCCTTAATTAATGGAAACCTGGTTAATGTACTAATTGATCTCGGATCCCACTTGAATTTGATGCATGAAAGTTATGCAAAGAAAATGGGGCTTAGATGGGATCGTGCATATAGAAAAGGAAGAATGGCAGATAACAGGATAAGTAAATTTAAAGGGTATATACCTCAAATGGAAGTTGAATTGAAAGGCGTAATAACGAATCAAAGCTTTTATGTAATGGAGTTGGCAAGCTTTGATGTTTTACTGAGAATACCATATATAGCCAGTGCATAATACAACCTTATTGTGTTTTATTAATTAATCTGGTACTTGTATTTTCTGTATAACGTTTATTCGATCTTTCTGTATGTT